TTTTGATGACACACCTTCTGCTATGTTCTGGTTCTGAATTTAAGTGTTCAGCCCCAGCTCATCCATATCAGTTTTCTGAATTTGCTTTACATACAGGCTCTTCTAGATCCTGAAGGAACTTGGTGACTCTAGCCTGTGTCTGTGGTCCTAATCTCACATCTAAGGATAGAAATAGGGAGGTTTACACCGAGGCACGTGGGTCACTACACTCAGCACTCAGGTCTCCATGCTGGATGTGGGTGTCTCAGTTCCCAAGCAGTGAAGGTGCAGTCAATGTGGTGGAATCCAGAGAGCCTCTCAGCTCACCCTGCAGCAGCACCCTGCTCTACACAGGGGAATTTCTTTCTGGTTCCTATTCATTATATTGTCATGTGATACAATTCAGCTAATTGAACATTGGTGCCTGATGGTATTTGGGCTGCCTGATGATGTCCTGCCATTCCAAAGTGCTTGAGTCTCCAATACTTCCCCTGTCAAATCTGGCAGTCTTAGGATAACTTAAACGGCCTCAAGTAACTGGGAAACTGGACTGGGTCCACTGTGACTTTTGCTTTCACCAGGAATTATTTTATTTTATGTTCCTTCTCCCTCAAGTGTAGTTCAAAGTTTATTCAGCAGATATAATTTAATTTTGCCTTGTAGTTAAGAATGCACCTAACTCAGGACATTGGTACCAGGGGACCAAAGCTAAGAAAAATTCTTTACCTTTGTTTCATCTGCACTGTACAAACGTTCTTTTAAGGAGACTTAAAGTTCAATAACTGGTCAGTACTTGGTGTCTGAGCTGATATTTTGATCAGACTTAGCCTTTGCTCCTTAACAGAGACACACAAGTTTCTATGTTTACAAACATAACAGTGTATAAAAACAGCATATCTTTTGCAAGCAACTAATATTCAAGAACATTGTTCCTTTAAGCTTTATTATATTTTAAAATAAGATTGGCCATTGACAAGTTTTTTAATCAGTAATCGGGCAAATAAGAGAATAGATTGGGAATCATTCCCTACCACGTGGTTTTTGCCTGGAAAGGACCAAATCTCTAAACTACCTTGCACCAAACATCTCTAGTTTGCTTGTTTGCTTTGGTAGAATATGTCTACAAAATTTGCAAGACAATGAAACAGCAAGGTTGTCTTTGGTGACTGGATAGCTGTAATCTATGAACACATCATAATTTGAGGTTTTGTTGTGCCTACTTAAACAGATATAAATGGAAACTGGGCATTAAGAAAGAAGCTGAATGCTTCAGCCAGACTTGTTAATGTATATAGTAATTTATTTATTTATTCATTTATTTTAGATGGCAAGGAATTTGATGCATTTGTATCCTACGCAAAACTAAACTCTTCTGAAAGTGGCTCTGCTTTAATTAGTGAGGAAAAATTTGCCCTGGAGCTTCTTCCAGATATGCTAGAAAATAAATATGGATACAAGTTATGTATTCTTGAAAGAGATATTCTTCCGGGAGGAGGTAAGTTCCCTGGGCATGGTACAATATCTTCAGTTTTTATAAAATTGTGTTTCACTTCTAAAAAATCCCCTTTGCGCACCAGAGCAACAAATTGTGTAATTAGGTAGTGGAATTTATGTTCAAATCTCATAATGTTTTGATCTTTGTGTCTGGTCCCTGAGCCTGATGCACACATACTTTGGAGTGAGGTGACTGTGAGCTGCTAGGCTGAGACAAAGCTTCTTGTGCAAGAATTTCTTTGCAAGCAGACTCCTTTCCCTGGAAAGACTACAAATATTCCAGTAGTTACTTTCTGAGCAACTTTAGCCAGTGCTACCCCAGTAATCAGAAAGCTCTGTGGGAGAGATGAAGACAAGTCCAAGTGTCCCTTGAGATCCTGCTGAAGTGTGCTGAGGTCTCAGCTGTACCCTTCATGTCCTGAGCAGAAAGTTGTGTTCTTCAGTTGTATAAGAACAGCCATGGTACCCCCTGATAGCAAACTCATTTCTAGGTGTTGTATCATTACTCAGCATTCCTATTCTTGCCTTTCCTTATTTCTGGGTTTTAGCTGTTGATATAGGTAGTGATAAGATAAAAACTCCTTTGCAGAATGCAGTAACTCTCACCATTTCCTCTCCAGCCTACACAGATGAAGTTGTAACTGCTATTAAACACAGCAGACGGGTAATAATCATTTTGAGCCCAGCCTATGTCAGTGGACCAAGCATCTTTGAACTGCAGGCAGCAGTGAACTGTGCATTGGAAGATAAAGGGATCAAACTGATATTAATAAAGTTCCAGGATTTCCAGGAGCCAGAGACTTTGCCACCAGTAGTGAGGAAAGCACTTCGGATTTTACCAATTGTTACCTGGAAGTCTTCAATTTCTGCTGCTCCACACAAGAAGTTCTGGAAATACATGTGTTACCACATGCCAATGAAAACTAAGAGGCTGGAAAACTTCAGCCTCAAGGGCTTCTTCCAGAGGTTATTCAGACTGGTATAGATAGGAGAAATTTCACAGGGGGATGACATCAGGCTCAGGAATGGTAACATGATTGTCAAAGACCTCTCCTATATTGCCTGACAGCTGCCAGCTGTCACTGCAGCCAGCAAGGGCTCCCTCTGGAACAGTCAGAAGGACTGAGGTGTGACAGTGCACAGCAAAACTGTGCCACTGCACATAACTGCAATATGTAAATATTTAAAAACTGTAAATATCTTCCGTAAATTATTATTTTATTACCATTTTTATTATACCATTTTTTTTACTATTTATTATACCATTTTGCTCTGATTTTGAGACATACACTGTTCTTTGCACTGCATTCCTTTCTGGAATACTTTAACACCTGTTTTCTAGAAAAATATTTTTAAAAGGGAACTCCAGAGGAAGCTTGCAGTTTAATTTTCTAATTTTCTCATGCAGTCCAGTGGGAGATACCCAAATTCTTCAAGTGAGTTACCTCCTCCAGTGGGAACATCAAGAAAATAACATGAGAGACTGCTGCAGCTGGGTATGCCAAAGGGATTCAGAAAAGAAGGACCACTCTGTAGGCTTACCCCAGGCATCTCCATCCTTCCTTCAATGAGGGGAAGAATTCAACCAGTTGTAAAACTGTTCACACTCAGGGACACGTGCACCTGATCATTGCTGATCCTGGCTGGCGCTGGTCACTCAATGCCCACTGAACCTGTTGGCACTATGGGTGTGTTGCAGGTGTAAATCAAAGCCATGTTTGTCACAACTAGTAGACTTCCAGGGTCTCTAAATCTTTCCCTTGCAGTCCTCTGGCTGCCAACTCTCCAAACCATCTTGCAGTCTGTGTGTGTGTCTCTAGCTGAGTGAAATGCAATGGTCAGTACTAAGCAATCTGGGTGGTATGGCCTCTTCCCTGTGGTTCTGCTCACTTCATTTGGCCTTCAAGTTAATAAATCCTTGTTTTGTAATGCTAATTGAATATCTCATCTGCCAGATTCCTTGTTGTAAAAGGGATTCTAATAAATATTACTGTTAACAGAATCAGTATACTGGAAAAAAGACTCTTGCAAGCAGGCTGAGCATTATCTTCCTAATGCTATATTGGGTTCAAAGCTTTTTTGGGAGGGCTGATGGTGCTGTGAGGCTGACAGAAGGTAGTGCTTCATGTAGAAGTAGATCATCAAAGGGCATCACTGATGGTGCTGTGGAGTTTTAACTTCTTTTTTGTTAGGGTTGGTATTAAATGTATGAGATGGTATTTTTTGTTTGGATTCAGATGTTTACTAGTTTTTATTTATATTACAGTCTCATAAACTGTGAATTTTACAGTATTTAAACAAACTAAAAAAATGGAGCTGTATCTCTCACTTTACAAGGTTTTTTTAAGGATAAACTGTCTAATTAAGAAATGATACTTAAATTATTTTTACTTTTAACTTACTAACTCATGGCTTATAATGTGGACTTTTTAATTTAATTACACAATACCACCCAAACCCATGAACACCATCTTCCCTACCTGCACGGTCTTCTAACACGGTCAAAAATCATTGATGAATTTGAATAATTTGTCAGTAAATTAAATGCACTCTGTTCTAAGATAAGTAATACAGGTTTTAGAAGCTTCTAATTAACAGCACTATGTTTGCACACCCTGTTATCCTTACACTAAACATGGTAGTTTTTGTGGAGGAGAAAATATGCGGGCATTTTAAAAAAATGATCCATAAGAGCAGTTGGAGGAGGATAATGTATTTGCCCAGTAGGTGCCTTACTGATATGAGTAAAACAAATGCCAAATACAAGACAACCCAAGATCCTATTTCAGGCAGGTGGTGTGACTCAGCCCTCCCTCTTTATGTCGACATCACCTGCTAATTACATACAGTTGTTTAAGGGAGGGAGCCCCTTTCCAAGCCTGGCTGTAATTTGCGCGGTCCCCCACCAGATGTCCCTCCCGGGAGCCCTGCACAGTCCCTTTATTTACACACTGGGCAGTTTTGTCACCAGGTGTGACAGGACCAGGGAGCCATGCCAAGTGTGGTGCCCGGGGTGCCACTTGTGCTGGGGAGGCAGATGGGGAGCGAGGGCAAGAGAGGAAGGCACGAAGCTGGCTCTCCTGCCTGCCCAGGCTGCCACCACCTCTCACAACCAATGCAATTCCCTTGAGCTGTGCTTGATGCCTGAAAGGTGAGCATTGAAAGCTTTTTTGATTTGTTGGTTTGTTTTTCTGGCTTTTTTTTTTTTTCTTTTTTTTTTTTTTTTTTGTGACAGTGGAAAAATCAGAGAGGCTGCATAAATTATGTAGTTGGAAAAGTCTTTTTATTCCTCAACAGGGTAATGCAGTGGCCAAGGTTTTTCTGGGTCAGTGGAACCTGCACAACCGGTATCTTCACAGAAACTCCAGGTCTGTCTGCAGCACAAGGAATGGGACAGGCACATAAGGACTATAAAATGACCTCTAACAGGCAAATGAAAGAGCCCTGAGGAAGAAGTGGCTGTGGGCAGTGTGAATCACCAGAAGTGACTGTGCACACCTTCATGCACCACTATATGCTAAATCTGTAATAAAATGGTCACAGGCCCAGACATGGGCTTTGCCAGGCTTGCACATGCAAAGCTTTCCAGCGTGCTGCTGCTGAGTGTGGTATCCTGTTCTGCTGCTGCTCATGGGGCTGAGCCCAGCCTGGGCAAGAGGTCCTTGCTTCACTATGAACATGAGTCCAGTGGTGCTGTTGACTCTTCTGAAGATATGAGGTTACATGTTTTCACACTGGACTATGACTACGTGCAAATTCCCTATGAAGTTACCCTTTGGATCCTCCTTGCCTCTTTTGCAAAAATAGGTAAGTAGAAAATGGGATCTTGGGGCCTCCTAACTTGGAAAGAAGTTTAAAAAAATACAATATAACCAAGTAACTTTCATTCATTTTGTAGCTGGGATTGATTTTACTGTGTCTGTCAAAAGAACAGGTGTGTTCATTACCACAGCAGTGCCAAAATTCCACCTTAGAATGATTCCATCTTACTTGAGTTAACATATGACCTCTAATCTTCAGGTCTCTTGGGCTGTGAGTAGCAAATAGCAACAGAGCTCCCTGACACAGTGCTGTCCATTCATTTTTTTTTAGTCCTTATAGATCACAAGATACCAGAATTTGCAACCTGACGCAGCTGCAGAAATCAATTACACCAGACTGAGACTTCAAGTGTACTGAATTTTGAGGAGAAAGTGTAAAGCATTCTTCCTTTATTTGAATAAAAGGAAATATTTCTCTCTGAATCTTTGTTTTACATATTTGCTCCTTGGAGTTGGTGTGAAAAGTAATACTGGGGAGAGAGAATGAGTCTCTGAGGGTGTGGATCATCAGAGATGTAGGCTAAGTATCTTTTGAATACATAGCAATGCATCTAGCTTCTATTAGAGCTCCATGTGGGTATCTGAAAGGAGAAATGCAACTCAGGGAGCAGTAATTGCAGTAGGAACTGGAATTAATATTGCAAAAAAAGGCTCATCATGTCTTACACATTTGCATGGCTGGGCTGAATTCATTTTGACCATTTAGAATTAATGCAGCAATATCAAATAAATGAAGACGGTAATGATGTGAAGAGTTGCACATATAAAATATCCCTTTTCTTTTGAACTTTTTGTGGGATTTTCAAACTCTTCCTTAGGACAAGCTGGTAGGTGAGACTGATGTTTTTCTGGAGGTGGCCTGAAGATAAACATTTTTCCTGTCATAGTTATCCAGCTGACAAAAATGTTTACCACCATCCACGCTTTGCCAGTTTCATTACAGCTGATGCCCTCAATCCGATTCCTACAAATGTTTTCACTGGTAACATAACAATCGAAATTTTCAAAATTTAAATTGGTTATGGCATCAGCAGAGTGTTTTAATATTAAACATATCGACCAAATTCTTTATTTATCATCCATAAAGCACAAGACTTGACATATGGCACATCTACCCAATATCCTTGTTTTGAACATGAAATAGATAATTTAGAAGAATTGTGTGATGCCTCCCAGGTGGACCTGTTACTTTTACTGTGAGTTTTCAAATAACATTATTTTTGATGAAAAGTGTGGAGCTGTTAATTTTAAATATATTTGGAAGAAAGCGTTAGTCTGAATAATCTGGTTACCCAGGGAAGAAGATTTCCAAACTGTTAAAGTTTTCAATGTTTTGTTCAGGTATTAATTTCTTTGTGGATTTCAATATTTAAGGGTGGGAAACAGTTCCAAGATCTGGAAAGGCAAAGCAATCCCCTTATCTGTAAGACTAGAAGAAGACTTAAAAATGATTTTTTAAATTAAAAAGCAGATGAGTAGAGTTATGATATAAACATACCTCTTAGAAAAAAAAATAGTGTCCTAAAAAAATTATATTCTTTTGCTTTTGGAAACTGATAGTTCAAGGGTCACAGAAATACTGTCATGGCAGAACCTTCTAGACTTGCAAGATGAAGGCTGACCTAGCTTCAAACATGGAGTCACAGACATTGGATTTTAAGGTTTCTTAGTCTGCATCATTCTCATTCTTGTAAATTTTAAGAAATCCTGACATTTTTAGTACAGGCACATCTTGTTCTCACTATGATCACACAGCTCTTTGTACAGTGACTGGACAAGCCAGCAGCAGGTGAGCAGTAAGGATTCTCGAAGAATATTTTCTTTCTAAATTGTGGAGGATCATTTCAAAGAAGTTTCTGCTTTCTCAGAACTGGAGCTTAAACTCAGACATGCTTGCTCATCAATCAAGAGCTGGGCAGCAGGAAGAGAAGAAATTCATGGTCAAACTCTTGCCCTGCTTTAGTGATACAAGTGTGGGAATGTTTAGTTTTGAAGGGAACAGTACTGCCTGTTTTTACCTTCATAATCCTTAGACCAAAGCTGCCTGTCTGAAGACAAAGTGTCCAAACGCAGGCATGACAATTGTCTGACATCAGGTTAATTTAAACAAATAATCCTCTAATGTTTTATTCAAGGTTTCCACATCTTTCACCGATTACCAAAACTTATGCCTGAAAGCTGCATCCTGATTGCCATCGGAGCACTGGTAGGAGCAATCATCTTTGCTTCCCATCACAAATCTCCACCAGTGATGGACAGTAGTATTTACTTCTTGTATCTCCTCCCACCCATTATTCTGGAGGAGGGTTATTTCATGCCAACTCGACCATTTTTTGAAAACTTTGGATCCATTCTGTGGTGGTCTGTTCTGGGAGCTCTGCTAAGCTCATTTGGGATTGGCCTCTCACTCTATGGAGTCTGCCAGATTGAAGCCTTTGGCCTGAGTGACCTGAGCCTGCTGCAGAACTTGCTTTTTGGCAGCATGATTTCAGCAGTGGACCCCGTGGCAGCTCTGGTGGTTTTTGAAGAAGCCTCCGTTAATGAGCAGCTTTACATGATGATCTTTGGAGAGTCACTGCTAAATGATGGCATAACTGTGGTGAGTTTGTTTCTGCTCCTTGTCTTCTCATCTTTGGACTCTTTTGGCTTCTAGGGTTACTGGGCACAGGACAAGAACACAGGAGCTCTTAATATATTATTTATTTTATAAATACTTCACTCAATCACACACAAGGGATTTTCATGCATGCAAAAATTACCCCTTAGATTACCTCTTTCCAAAGCATGTATTTTAGTGCTGCTGGAAGAGGGAAACATCCACATACGTGTGAGATGTGCTCTTGCATTCCCTGAAGTGAATGGATAAGCTACAGCTGATTTTTCTGGTCAGATCAGTGTAGGACCTTGGAATGTTCTTGACATTGTGCAAGCAAATAAACAGAAAATTGTACTGCTTGAAGACTGAAGGCAGCAAGGGTAGAAATACAGGAGATCCTGCCTTGTCATATATCTGAGAGGGTCCTCTGGAAAAAAAAAAAAAAGAAAAGCAAACCAGATGTAGATAACCTCTGGGGCCACACTCTGTCCTCCAGCCCCTTCCAGAAATTTCACCAGAGACCTTAGACAGGAATTCCAAATGCCACTAAGAACTTTGCATAATTCTGTTTCTATCAATAAAAAATATTGACATCTGAAAAATGTTTAAATTTTTTGGCTGTCTTGTCATAAATATCCAGAAACAATGTTTCCTGAATAAGAAAGATTTGGTTGGTTGGTTGTATGTTTGCTGTTGTTGATTTTTTTGTTTTTAATAAGAGTGTTTTTTTAAGCTCCTTTTGATAATATTTTCCCCCTTATCTCATTAGTTCTGCTAAAATTGGAGCAACCTGAAATTCTAGCTGTAAGCAGAAATGACAAGAACATTTAAAACATATGTTTTTCAAGGAAGAAATTTCAAGCAGGAAGTTTATTGCTCAGAAACCAACAGGACTGCTCATGTGGTACAAGTTAACAGCAGGTTAAGGAGTTTCACTAGATAAGATCTTTACAGAATTTAAATCACAGGAATCTAAAACACATAAAAACTATTCAGATACTGCTGTACATGAGGTACAGCCCAACTCGGACTTGTAAAATCTGTACAGAGTTCACTGCTGAAAGGCTTCATGGGAGTAGTGCAGTTTGCCAGTACTGAGAAAAGAAAAAGGAGCAAGTAACTTGCAGGCACAGCCTAAGGATCATAAATCCTTCCTCTTGGTGAGCAGAGATACAGGGCTGATGTAGAACTCAGGGACAAGTGTTATTTCATTTATGTTCAAACTACTTGGGTGCTACAGTAGTAACAGAAAAATCCCCAATGTGTCTATCTCTTACAATTGTCTTTTTGGTTCCCTCAAATACTGACCTCAAAAATCTAATGCCTCTTTTTCACATTGGAAGAGCTTGTTTCATGCTTTTCTTGATGGGCTCACTACCTTGCCTTTGCTTTTCTCCCAGCTATCTATCATGTGGGTCCAACTCCTGCTGGTATTTACCCGAGCTTCCAGTCGGGATCCTGTTACAGTACAGATGTGCAGTGACAGAAAGCCTGTTAAAACAGTGGATTTAGGCACTCCTCAGCAGCCCTGGGTGTGCTAGTAAAGGAGATGAAAGGGCTGCACGTGGGGTATGTTGGGTGCCCCTCTGAGAGTTCCCATTGCCCCACACTCCCATCTTTGGGGCTTAGAGCAGCTGCATTGCCATCACTTTGTCAGCTCCTGCTACTGCATCTCTGCATCAACCACCATTCACCCCCTTTCTGGGCATTTGGGCTTTCAAAATCTCTACCTGGCTTCATGCTCAAGGAGACTGAAGTATTTGTCACCTGAATGGAGACTGTCTCCTTTCTGATATCCCACCTACTTTTTTCCAAGACTTTAAAACTACTTATCTCAGGTGTCTTCTCTTACCTTTTCCTTCTATTTCTCTCTTAACAGTTTAATTTGAGTTAACTCTAAGTGTTTGAAGAAGATAATATCATCAAGATATATTAAGCATACGTATTTTTTTACTGTTTAAATACAAATATCCCCTGGTATTCTCCAGCCTGCTTATCAGCTTGAACATTTTTTTTCACCAGCAGGAAAAACTAGTATGAGTTTTGTTCAACTTGTGTAATACATGTGGGGCAACAATAGCTCTGTCTCCTATATTTAGTTCAATATGCTGGTATATAAAAAAGATTTCAAAACAACAGACTGTAGAATTAGAATTATAATCTAGAAGTTATGACTTTACCTTAAGGGGGTGGGAGAAAATGGATGATTTACTCATTTTACCCATTGGTACCTTTTCTTTTTTTCCTCAGTAGGGCCATGTATGTGGATGGAAAAAAGAAGGTTCCAAGTGCTGTTAATTACTTCTTTTCCCAGTTATTTCTGAGTGGGCTGTTAGCATCAGAATAGTTCAGACAACATCAGGGCTGGACCTAGGATACATCACACATTAGTGGAATTTCAAAGCCCTGTTCAAAAAGAGCATTGTAAATCCAGTGCAGATCTTATTCAAGACTGAACTCCGGTGGAATGCCCTGATTTTGCTGTGAAGTGTTTCAGCCATTTGAAGCTCTTCTCCCACATATACACAGACAATTTTGTTTCTAAACAGGAGCTGAGCTGCTGGTATGAATCAGGAACTGGAATATTCCCTGACTGCTTCATCTCTGAGGCTTGATTTTAGAAATACTGGGAACACCTATATGTCATGCTGTACTCAAAATGATTTGCACTGGCTGTATTCTCTAATGGAGCCCTCTTTTCTTTGTAAGCAGCAGAACAGTTAAATCTAATACATGCTGAAGACCTAAGTAAAATTACTTTATTATTTGAGGTGATTTGAAATTGCCTCTGATGTCACTGAGAAAGACCTTGATCACTAGTTTGGATGCTAGATAGGAGGATAGAGATCTCTTCTCTTCTCTTCTCTTCTCTTCTCTTCTCTTCTCTTCTCTTCTCTTCTCTTCTCTTCTCTTCTCTTGCTGTAAAAGTTGTTCCAATGTCATTAGAGTAAAACCAGCTACTGTAGTCAGAAAGAATTAGGGTGGTAAGAAAGAATTATCAAGACAGCCTGTGTTGGTGGTTAAGGCAGTCACTTGAAAATCTCTTCTTCCAATGCTTCTGGTGTGGATTGTGGTAGCAGTGATTGTACACAGACACCTGGAGCGTGAAGCAGTCCCTGGGGAGTCCCCTGTGGCAGCAGTGTCATGTTCTCTGTTCCTCTCTGTGGTTCTGAGAGCTGCCCAGTGGTACAAAATCCTCTCCAAGCAACCTAAATCATGATGTTCTCAGGGCTGCTACATGAGACCACTATCAATCCATCCCTTCTTTTTGTGTGAACAAAAGCCTCCTAATCTGATTCAGGCTTTCCTAATATATAAAGAATTCTAGTAATCCATTTGCTGGCATAAACACTGCAATGTAACTTAGCTGAGCCTTCCTTATATGACACAGTGCAGATTGTGGTACAGAACCAGTTTATTCCCACAAAGCATGTTACAAAAAAAAAAAAAATTATGTCATATTTCCATAACTTTCATTTTTATGCCAAATCAGTTAAATCATATGGATACTTTAGGAACTAGAAAAGTGAAAAAATTCTTAAGTCATTTGCTGAGAATCTTTCTTCGTAAGTCAGCATAGAATCATGCTGTGGTATCATTTATAAAGAATCACAAGTCTTAGGAAGAGGTCAAAGTCTACAAGAAAGGGAAACAGAGAGGAAACAGGCTCTGAAATTAAAAGCTATAGGGTAGGTAGGGTGAGGTTTGCTTACTGTGAAAACATAAACCTTCTTTTCCTTATCTGCCACTGAAGTGACAAATTTCATCTACTGGCATTAGGAAAAAGAAGTCCTGGGTATTTTCTTAAAAGAAATATTTTGTCAGGCTTTGTCTGTCTCCCAGAGCTATTAGCAGTGAGCCTCCTGGAGAACAGACTGTGTGACAGCTCAAGGTTATATGTCCCCAGCAGCAATTTAAGATTGGATAGTAGCTGAGCAGTAATTATTATCCTAATGAGCTTGACTCTTTTACCTGCAAATACCTGCTTTAGTCTTCTTAATAACCTTCTGGAATTAACTAGATGAAGAAGAAAGACTAAAGAAAACCATAAAATGCAAATGACTTTGGTCTATTTATTGTTTTTGAACTAATGCTTTAGTGCAATAGCTTTGGAGAGCTGGTGTCTAGTTATTTCCCAAATTCTCTTCAAAACTGAAAGGTGACTTTCATGTGTTACTCACTCACTGTAAACAGATCTGACAGGACTTAATATTAACTGATTGTCAGCAACCTCTAAGGCTTTTTTATTACTACACCACTCGGAAAATTTTCTATTCGTTTCTAAAAGATGAATGAAAGTGGAATTTGCTAAAAATTTTTCATTAACAGTTTCTGAAGAATAGAAATTATTGATAATAGAAATTTGGTGAAGCTTTCTTCTCTAAGATATTATCTTTTCAAACCAAATTATATAATACATTATATAAAATTATAATTTGCATTAAATTGAATCTTTCTTCTAATCTGATATTTTATTTTGATTTTAACAATTTCAAGATTTCTAGTCAAAATGTGTATATGTGCAGGGTCTTTAGAACGTTTAGAGGGCCACAGCATTTCATTCATACTTTTAGGTGGTTATCTGGGGAGGTGGCTAAATAGCACCAAACTCCAAATATGTGATGATAGAGAGACTTTTTTACGTAGCTAGAGAATGAAACTGAGGCTACCATCTTCCTTTCCCAGTCCCATTCTCAGTGATGTTTCATGATATTTATGTGTCAAGTGCTGTTGAAAAACATGTAACATTACCATGTCCATCTGATGAAGTTTGCCAAGTCTACTGGCTGATCCTATAGACAAACTAAATGGAATTTAAATCAAATACATGACTCTTAGTCCCTGCCCTGCCCCAGCCTGAGTCAGAAGGAGAACATGGAGGATAGAGCCTCCATGGTATTTAAGGTACCCAGATGAGCTTTTAACCTCTTCTACAAAGACCAAAAATTATATTAACTCTCAAACAAACCAAGAAAAGAGGGGTTTTTTTTTATTACTCAATGTCATGTGGTCCCCCAGTACTTTACTATTTTACTACTATTCCACAGCCATTTACCCTTTTTTTTTTTTTTGGTTGCTCTTTTTCAGGACACTTAATGGACTCATATTTCTGAGACTTCTTAAGAACCAGCTGAGATTTCAATTGTTACTTTGCTGATCTGCCTAAAGCAATTTCTGGCAAACACAGACACTAAACACACACACATTATTTCACCTATGAAATAGGTGTCAGGTTCAGAAAAGATGCCCAACTGCTGTTTTCTTATTTTCACATGTAGGTTTTATACAACATCTTCATTGCCTTCACCCAGATGCACAGGTATGAAGAAATTGAGTCCATCGATGTCTTTGCTGGCTTTGCTCGCTTCTTCGTGGTGGGGCTGGGTGGAGTCTTGTTTGGCATCGTGTTTGGATTTGTCTCAGCATTCATGACTCGTTTCACCCGCAACGTCTCTTCCATCGAACCCCTGCTGGTCTTCATGTTCAGCTACCTCTCATACTTGTCTGCTGAAACCCTTTACATCTCTGGCATTTTGGCGTGAGTATTCCTTACGGCTTTTTGGATGATCTCTTTGAGGAACTGGTGGTGTTTTGTGGTGGTTTGCTCAAGGTTGGTGCAACACAGGCATTAGACAGGCAGTGCACAGCTTCTTAGAGATCTGTAAAATGCAGTGGTGACTAGGAAAAGCAAACCCACAGTCAATGTAGGCACAGATATTCTACCGAGGGATGTTGGCAAAAGTACTGCAGGTGGCCAGTGCTGCCACCATCTGTCTGCTATCTCTGATAAGATCAGCAGCAGCAGAGAATGATTTGATACTACAGCAGTTTATCTGTATTTATTTCTAAGCAGCTTCACCATCAGATTCAAAGAGAGACATAAAACAACGGGTATGGAAAATATAAGAAAGCATATCTGAGTTCTTTGTGAACATCAGCCCTAACACCATTCACTGGAATTATATTACATTTGAACAGCATCACTGGGATTGAAACTGGGGAAAAAACAGGTGAAAGAGAACATAACCTACACATGCATACTTATAGTCATGTATATGAATATTGCAATTTTTTTTTTGTGGTCAGGATATCTTGATACTGCTGTAATGCTGGGGACATGTTCCTCAAAGTATGTGATGGTGTGGGTGCCTGCTGCGGAGAGAAAGCTTTAGGTTCTTGACTGGAGTAAATGCAGGAATGGTGAGAATTGTGGGAAGGAAAGGAGCTGGAAGAGGAAGGAATAGGGATGGAAGTGAGAGACTTAAGGAGAAAGGTGCTGGCAAGTGGCTTGCAAGGGTACCACCCAAACCAGCCCACCTGCAGGGTGCAGCATAAGAAGGTGGAGACCTCCTGTTGCCAAATGCTCCAGCTGGTGCTGCTGGCTGCTGCAGGCTCAGTGGACAGCTGGTGGGTGGCAGCAGCTTTGCATGGCCTCTGCTGGCTCTCAGCTTTCGTGATAGGCCTTGGATGACCTCATGTTGCAGAAAGTGCTTCCCTTTGTAGAGGACAAACCAGTTTAAACTTAACAAATACAAGCATATGGCTGCTGATGCCCAGACAGGTGCATTTACCCACCTCACCTTGTGAAGCTCTGATTTCACAAAGTCACAGAATGGTTTGGGTTGGAAGAGACATTTAAAAGCCATCTAGTCCAATGCCCTGGCAATGAACAGGGACATCTTCAGCTAGATCAGGTTGCTCAGAGCCCCATCCAAACTGGCCTTGAATGTTTTCACAGGTGGGATGTCTGCCACCATTCTGAGCAACCTCTTCCAGTGCTTCACCACTCTCATTGTGAAATATTTATTCCTTACAACTAGTCTAAATCTACCTAAATCTTTTAGTCTAAAACTATTATCCCTTGTCATATTGGGATGTCCCCATATTTCTTAAAGGCCTCTTTTAAATGTCAAAAGATTGAAATAAGGTGTTCCTGAAGGGTTCTCTTCTCCAGGCTGCACAACCCTGGGTTAATCAGCTTCAGAGTAGAATTGCCTTAATAAAAATAACCTTTGCAGGATGGTCCTGGGAAGCAGTATTTGAATATTTAAACATTTAAATAAGTAGTTAGACTGGATATAGATTATCTTGAGCAATTAGACAAAGCACATGAGTCTTGTGCTGTGTTTTGTATACCCAACACAGACGCTCAGATTGAGCTGACTGGCAACTTTAGTTGAGCAGGATTAGATGTACTGTGCAGTGAAGAGTAAAATCATATGGACCTCTTCCTACTTGCACTGACCAAAATACTGCTTCCCCACCTATTCCTTGCACAAGATTACATATCTCTTTATTTCTTTCACTTCTGATTTTCACTAGAGTTCTGAAATTATTAGTAATTTAAGAATGGTAATATAATTTGGATTTATTATTCTTACTGCTTCATTAAGGAAATTATTGCTTGTTTTAGAGATGGAAACTTATTGTCACCTTTCTGAATTATTGAGGATTCATTCATTTTTCACTTGGATCATGAAAGTCTATTATGTATGTGTATCTGAAAGTCAACAGTATTAATCATTAATGCCTAATGGCCTTGTCTTGGAGTGTCCTTGGACATGCTAAATGACTCAGCTCCACCAGGATACCCTTGAGATTTCTTCAGTGGAAATTAAATGAACTGAAACTAGAGGAAGGTTATCTAATGAACAGTCATCATTCTCTGAATTCACAAGTTTGGAAAAATATCATTACAAGAGGCCCCCAGAGACTAAAATCATATCAGTAGAAACTAGATAGGTGATGGAATATGTTACTAGCATAGCACTCAATCTGTGTGTTACCTATGGAAAATGCAGAGGGGAAAAGGAAATCCCCTTCAGCAGGGCTGATCAAAGATGCTGCTCCATGTGATTGTCACCAGCATCTGTGCTGGGTGGCTGCTGATGCCTCTGACACAGGCTCTAGTCTTCATTAACAGTGATGCAAAACATCCCTTTGCCTTCTTAGGCACATTCCACACACCCTGGTGACTGCAGGGAGGAGGACACCTCTGTAGGATATTGAATTTCCTCCTGCTGTGCCACAATGGGCTGCTGTGGCTGGAGAGCCCTGCAGCTTGCCCTGGCACTGCTGATCTGCCAGGGAGCCATGGCAGCTTTGGCCCTGGCACGGGGCTACCATGATCTGCACTGCCACCTCAAGGGACAATGTCACCCGGAGGCAGGTTATGTCCCTCTAACTGGTCCACCTGTAGGCTGGTACAGAACCGACCTGCCTCTTGTTTGAGACAAATATTTGGTGCTTGGTGGCTCCATGTTAGGCATTCAGGATAAAATGGACTTTGAGCTGGAATGTGATACCCTCCCTTGCTTGTCAGAAAGGCAGACTAGTTTGCTTCCTTTATCCTATAAGTAAAACAGATTTGTAAACGTGAATGAAGATCCTTTTCTAGCTAATGAAATAGCTAATGTTACTGAGAAATAAAATGCTTGTTTTGATGAAGGTCAGAACCTGGTGGTGGAGAGTACAGGTAATGATGGCTGATGTTGTCCTTAACTGAAAAGAAAAACAGATCATGGCTGATCTCTGATGTTTTGCTTGGTACAGGATGACAGCATGTGCAGTGACAATGAAAAAATACGTGGAGGAGAATGTTTCCCAGAATTCTTACACCACAATAAAGTATTTCATGAAGATGCTAAGCAGCATCAGTGAGACCCTGATTTTTGTGTTCATGGGAGTGTCTACAGTGGGGAAGAACCATGAATGGAACTGGGCCTTCATTTGCTTCACTCTGTTCTTCTGCCTCACTTGGCGGACACTGAGTAAGTAAACTCTTGCAGACAGCCTTCTCTGCATCTATGAGAAAAAATCTTTGGCACAAAATTTTCTTAGAAAGGTCTGTGGGGACTGGCACAACTGCTTTAACAACAAATTTACTAGTTTATATTAGTGACAAGCAAATTTCACAAATCTACACACAGAGAAAAAGGGAGAAAAAGCCCCACACAAATCTCTCCAAGCACAGACTTTACATTTGGGTGAAAATTGATTCTTTTAAAAGCAAAATTAAAATATTGTCATGATTATGCTTACAGAGATGTTTATGTCTTTATTCACTATATGCCCCTTGGGTAAGTGGGCCTCATAATGATTTCACAACACACTGTCATTAACTCATTAATTAGGTAATGTATATCATCACACTTCCAGTGCCATAACACTACAGGTCCTGGGCTGGGAGTGCTGGAGGCATAGGAAAAGAGGGAAGGTGAAAATTAGCATGGATAGATAACTAAACAGGGATTTATACCACATGTGGGCCAACAGCACTATGCTACTACTCCTCACAAGTCAAGTCTAAAGTTTTAAACTGCTAAAACGTAGTGCCCATATGAAATTACTCCATTTTTGCACATGGTATGTCCCATTCCTGCAAAGGTGTCCTACTCCCTGACCTGTGGGGCAGATTCCTCTAGCATGGGCAGGGCAGTTCATAGATGATGTCAGACAAGTTGTGAGACACAGTTTCTCATCTTCTCCTTATGTCCAGGATGGGTTGACAGTAATGCTGAGAAGGGAGAAGGAATAAGAAGGCTGGTGGTTGCTGTTCTTGAGGTGGTAGCAAAAAGGAAGTAATTACATATTTTCTTGCTGTATCTGGACCAAGTGTGGCCTCTGAATTTTTAAAGACTTGCTTTCCATTTTGAAATATCCTTCTAATTAAGACAGAAACAATACTCTTCTGATTTAAAAGCTATTTTCCAGCCACATGTCCATCCTTCTCTCAGACACAAAGGGGAGTGCTAGAGCTTTACAGAGGAAGGACAAAACACTTTCTGCTATATTTGTGTGTTAAAATGATTACATCATTTTCTATGAAGCTTGAATTAAGTAAAGAGATGTAGCCTGAGGTTGATACCTCACATAGGCTGTTTCACTCTGAGTACCTGATGCCTAGCATTATAAGTAGTCAAAAAAGGTCATGCATAAAGTGATATCCAGCAACCTACATAAAAGAATGCTGTTACCTCTAATAATCTGTGTGTATCAGTGACAGCTGTGTAAAATAACACCAGTTATCAGCATTTGCGAGCTTTTTTGTCAGTAAATTAATGGTTTGCACATAAAACATAGGATTTATATTTATTGTGGAGGATGAAGAAGTGAAACAAATTGCTAAAATTACACTATAAAGACAAGTTGCAGTCCTTACACAGCCCCAGATTATCTTATTAATTTTAAATTTTATTAAAAGTAAAATGAAGTTTGAGAAATAAACAAATAATTAGAGACACAATAAGCCCAAGGATTAAAATTTTAAATGCTATTATTCTTTGTCTTTCAGTGAGCCTGTCCACAGGACTTGTTGGTAAAGCATGGTTCAAACACTTTAGGCAGACACTGTACAGAAAGCAGGGAACATTGCAAAGGAAGGCACAGAGAAAACTCTCATCCAGTTGTTTTTCTTTTCCCCAAAACACTTTAGAGGAAACTATGCAACATAAGTATAGGAAGTTAATATTTTCCCTAATCTCTCTTCTAAACTCCGTTAATGAATTTAAATCCTGAAGCTGTCAGGAACGCCAGTATTTTATAGGACATATTTCACACAAGCCAAATTTAGCAGTTGGTCAAAGAAAAGCTACAAGAAATCAAAAGAGAAAAAAATGTGGGCTGTCAACAGTTCCCCAAAACAATAATTGCTTTGCTTTTAATATTTAATATTTGCTTTTTCTCTTTGATTAACAGTAGCTGTGGTTTGGTTTTTTTTCCCCTTCCTAGGTGTGTTTGCTCTCTTCTATGTCAGTAACAAGTTCCGAACATATCCCTTCACCTTCAAAGACCAACTCATCATTTCTTACAGTGGCCTCCGAGGAGCCAGCAGCTTTTCTCTTGCATTCTTGCTTCCAGTGAATCTTTTCCCCAGAAAAAACCTATTCATCACTGCAACCATTGTGGTTATATATTTCACTGTGTTCATCCAAGTATGTATATTTCTTAATGGATAACTTTCATGTACTAGAGGTGACTGAAAGCTTCATAGTGAAAATGGCATTGAATTCACTCTTAGGCTAGGACAAGTTATTGCGTTTTAGGGCCAGATTTAGCACTGTACTGTGTAATTAGCCTTTTTAAGAGCTTTTAGGTAATACAAAAATTCTTTTGTATCTTTTAAAATATTCAGGGGAGAGGGCACTTGGTGTCCAAAATTATTTATGTTCATTCCACATGCATTTCCTGGTACTTCCAATTTAAGAAGTCTTTTAGCTTTACCTTTCAGTACTGATTCATTCTTTATTTGTGGTGTATCTCAAACTGACCAGAAAACAGTATGTCTGTTCTGTGACAGATTTTGAATTTTATACTTTTATCTTTGTCTGTCTTGGGGACCAAATACAAATATTTTGAAATGCTTTGCAAAAGAATATTTTAAAAATGAAGTGAATAAGTCACATTTGTAAGTATAGGTGTCTACTTTAGATTTTTGAGTTATTTCACCTTGCTTACTGCTGTACCTGGAAGAACTGAAACTTCTAGAGAACTCTGCAACCCATATTTTGCATTTTCCAATACCAAAGTCTCAGATCCTCTAGGGTGCCAATGGGGCACTATGCACTTGTGATAAGTAAGGCGCTTAGGTTCCACCAGCATGTTTCAGGAAAATAAAAAATTTGTTTCTATTTCCACTTTTAAAATGGTTTTCTGTAGCAGTGCAGTAAGGAAATGGGAAAAAATGAAAACCATTTCTAAGTGAAAAAACCCTGGAATGTTTAATTCTGAAAATATTGAAGTAAATGGTTTTAAGACTTCAAGACCTCACAAAGATAATATTTTCTTTCAAATGAATCTTCTTTTGAAGATGATTGCCAATGAGTCAGTTACTTTACATTATGAGACTATGCCAATAAATAGAATCTCACTTAAAAAAAGACCTTTAGAATTTTTTTTGATTTTAAATTCTCTTCTGTAGCTCTCAATACAAATAATGGTTCATTTCTGTGCTAAGACAGAGCTTTCCTAACTGATTAAAATTATCTCCTTTTGCTTTCTTTCTATTTTTGCCTAAAAGATAATTAACAATTCAACTCATTATTCCAAATACAGGGAATCACAATTGGACCTTTGGTCAGATATCTGGATGTTAAAAAGACAAACAAAAAGGAATCTATCAATGAAGAAATTCATGTACGAGTAAGTTTTTTACATCAGCAACCACTATCCCAAAAAGAAAAGAACAGGTATTCTGAAAGAGCTGGAAAGAGGGAGGCACTTGGAGACCTGGCATTGATTGCATTTGGATGCTCAGTGCTTTTATGAATGTAGGGAGGTAACTTAGGCATGATTTTCTAAGATCTTGCATCTCATTTATGTTCATATTTACTACCATATTATACTATCATGCACAAGTGTCATGGTGCATTAGGTCCCTTATTCATTGGCACTTTGACCATGGGAGGACAGAAAGAGAAAGGTAATGTTTATCAAAGTACTCACCATCCTTCCTAGCTGGATTAGTCAGAAACACTTGTTGCCATCTTTTGACCAGTTCTAGACACTGAAGTCTTAAAAGTCTTTAATCCAGATCCGTTGAACTTAGTTGAACCATTGAACTGCAAACTTAGTTTCAATTTGTTCTGGGTAGTGATCTTTTATCCTCTCAAACATTTACTTCAGTTCCCAAATTACTATTATAGAGAATCACCGGAAGTTGTTCAATCTGATTTAACATTACAGAAGACCTATGTACATTCTTTCATTTCACAATAGGGAATACATTTGAAATCAAGAGAAACGCTGTGTCTTAAAATGAAACAAACACACAGATGTAAGCTGAAGAGATATTAGCAAAATTAGAACATTGAACTGATTTTGAGTTTAAAGTGAAATTAATTCTTCCTATCTGAACATTTACAATGAACCTTGAAGAGAACTTGCATTTTAAAGCACCCTTTATGACAACATGTCTGTAAGAATTGGCCTTTTTCTGTATCTATAGTGCTGGACAAGCACAAAAAAGGACTGAAAGTAACAGAAGGTAGTAGTAACCAGTCTCATGTCATTCTGCAAAATCCTCAGAGGATTTATCTGTCAAGGTGAAGGTGTTGGTATGTGGCCCTGTGCCTCTCCCAGGAAGGCCATGCATGAGGAGGGGAAACTTGGAGGGGAAACAGAACCAAGAATTTATATTTTGGGTTCAGTAGACAAAAAGGACCCAAAATTTTTTTGCTTCCATCAAAACACTTTCAATGCAGCCAAGCATCCGCAGTGGCATCTTTGCCTTGATTTTAGAAAAATGTAGATGCTTTCAGAATTAACTCACATGCTCCAGTAAAGCAATAAATCTCAAAATCATGTCAATAAGTGCAGATTTGTGAAAGCATTTCATAATGAACACATGGACATTTCATAATGGCCACTTACAATGTTTCCATGTTTTTTTCTGTAGTTGATGGATCACTTGAAGGCAGGTATTGAAGACATATGTGGACATTGGAGTCATTATCAGCTGAGAGATAAGTAAGTATGTCTTATTGCAGTCTAATATAATAAAAAATAACCTATCAGGTAATATATAGTAAGTAAATAGAAGAGGAAATCAAAATGCTGCGGTCATGTGCTGTATCTCTTTCTAGAAACAGAACTCCTGAGTAACCATTAACTCTTGAGAGTGCAATGCTCATACATTGCCTGCTAAATTGGATCTGCACAAGCAGAAAATAAGCCTTCAGAAAGAAAAACATAGCATGGGAACTCACGCTGCAGACATCAGCCTGTGCATACCCTTGGTATAAATCTGAGATCCCAGGAAACACTTCTTTAACTCTGGATTTAAAACATAAGCTACACATGGTCTCAGTGCTTTGCTGGCTTTTGCTGTGAGCCTCCATAGCAAAAAGGATCCCTTACAGGTCTTTGCATTCAGTAACATCTAAAATAAAAGTGCTGAAGGGAGTGTTTGAATTTAAACAGCCAGTAGCATAAGCAGAGCTAGTCTTTACTCAGAAATGCAGGTCCCACATTGTCCCTTCCATCAGCAGTGTGAGGTGGTTTTGTGAAGTTTTGCAGCTCTTCCAAACTCTAGCCAGAAGAGGTAGATCTCCTGTTTCCTTTAAATTTTCCCTAAGGGAGTCCTGTGGACATGCTGGCCACCACCACAGCATGTGAAGGCAAGTAGGGAAAAGACTGATTTTTCTTTCCCCCCAAACATCTTATTATGATGCCGTGGGCTAAAAGTTATCTCTAGTTCTGCCTAGGCTTCTGTGCTGGAATCTTGTCTGACTTTCAGTGTTGGACTCCAGTAATCCAGCCAAGGGTGTCTGCTGGGACATGTGGCAAGTCCTTCCCTATGGAAACCAGAAATTCAGAGGGGGAAGAGGATGACTAGTTTGCATCCAATTCTTGTCCCAATGGGAAGTAATGATATAATGTACTAGGGCATACCCAGAATCTAAAATGTCTTCTTGGTTCTGAGTACAGAAGTAGCTTTAGGACATCCATCTGCTGGGACCACACCACTGTCTGTGCAGTCAACAAACTGAGCAAATCTCTGTTGGAGCAGTAAATCCATTTAAATAGCTGCATTTACACATATCTGTGAGTAAATGCCATCCATTTGTCCCATATCTACCTGATAGCTCTGAAAAGAGAATTTTCCCTGAACTAGCCATAAATGTAGTGTTTTGGTTCATGGACAGATTCAAAAAACACACTGTGTCTGAGGACATTTAACATAAGAAGATTGTATTAAAAAGTATTCCCTAAACTTTTGTATGCAGCTTTAAAGTTGCGTACAGAATTAATTACCTAAGCAATGACAATCCAGGAGGCTTTTTATTACACAGAGAAACATAAAGAGCTGTAATCCCCGTGCAAATATTTGTGTACCTTCCTCTGCTATTAATGAATAAAAAACGGCCTTTGCTAAGGAAAGAAAGATACAAACCCTGTAGTGCTTTTCCCAGCATCGTGGAGCATCTTACCTTGCTGTGGTAAACTGTTCCTTTGAAAGAAACAGAACTGTTGCTCTGCTGAAGATCTGCTGTTTTTCTGCTAAATGTCTGCCTGAAAGCATGTACCTGTTCCAAGGCACCCACACACATTCACATTCAAATTATGCCACACATTAGCAATATTTTACAATCTGCAGCATGCAAGCACATAGTATTTTGGGGTCCTTTCAATTTCTCTGTTATTCAGAATACAAAGAAATGTATTTTCTCTGCTCTAATTGTCAGGATTCAAAATTATCAGCAATGTAATGGGCCCTAACTACTGTAACTGCTGGGCCACTTAGAGCCTCATTGGTGGCTGGCTGAATAGGCCAGGATTACAGTAAGAGCAGCTGCTGCTGTTATGTCCTTCTATAATGCAACATTTGTACAAAAGCATGGAGACTGGCCGTATTCTTTTCTGACAAATGTGGCAGTGTAATATGCAAACATACACGCAGCCCTCTTTTTTGCTCTGATTGCAGCTTGTTTCTTTCTTTTGTCTAGCGGGCTCTGCAATCTCTGTGGACCAGTAGACTATGCCAAATATCCCCCTAAAGGTCTCAGCTCGACAGGCCTTCAGGAGTCCACAGGTGCCTCTAATTTGTATTCAGTTTCCACCACTGAATTGTAGATATATGCATTTGAATGAAGATCAGCTTGTAGTACAGAAATGAAAACATATTTCCTTTTCTACACTTTGATTTTGGTATCTCTTTTGCAGATTTAAGAAGTTTGACAATAAGTATTTGAAGAAAATTTTAATTCGGGAACACCAGCCCAAATCCAGCCTTGTGTCGTTGTACAAAAAGATGGAGATAAAACTGGCCATCGAGATGGCTGAGAGTGGCATGAAAATTTCAAAACCATCCACTACTTCTTTACAGTGAGTACCAACCTCCTGACCCTTTGCAGAGTAGGGACAGAAGGGCAGGGATAAAAATGAGGAGGTACCCAAGGTATTCCATGATTTAATTGAAATGTAAGAAAAAAAAAGACAGTTGAGAAAAGAGAAGATGCAATTTGGTGCTCATCGTAATTGTGCTTTGCTCAGAGAGTGAAAATTAAAATCATGGAAATTTCCTGTTTCTTTTCCATGATGGACAGTCCTGAAGAGGAATTATGAGTCACATACAGAAGCCACTCTGGTTGCTTTAAATCACAGTAGTGGCTCAAGACAGATGTACTTATCTTTAACCTGGCCAGTGGGTTTTGTTAATCCCTGCCAGTTCCCTGCCATCCCTGCAGGAAGGCTTAGCATACAGGTCCTGACTCCACTGTCCCAATCGTGAATTTTTGCTGAGAGCAGATTTCTTTGTAGCATTTGCAATTTCTGCTGCTTCAGTTTGCAACCTCTCAAATGACCTTGCCATATTTTGGTATTTCCAAAACAAACAAATTTTTCCAATTAAACATTGAGAGCAGCAACCATATCCTGCCTCAAAAGTAGCATGACCAGCAGGCTGTGGGAGGGGATTCTCCCCTGCTACTCTGCTCTTGTGAAACCTGACAGTTCTGGGTCCAGCTCTGGGGTCCTCAGTACAGGGAAGACATGGACCTGTTAGAGTGGGTCCAGAGGAGTGCCACAAGGATGATCAGAAGGCTGAAGCACCTCTCCAAGGAGACAGAGAAGGCTCTGGGAACACTTGTTTGCAGCTTTTCAGTACTTAAAGAGGACTTACAAGAAAGAAAGTGACAGACTTTCTAGTAGACTTGTAGCAGTAGGACTAGGAGAAGGTAGGTTCAGGCTAGGTACAAGAACTTTTTATGATGAGGGGTGTGAAACTCTGGAACAGGTTGCTCTGGGAAGTGGCAGATGCCTCATCCCAGGAAACATTCAAGGTTGGGTGTGATGGGGCTCTGAGCAACCTGACAGAGCTGAGGAGGTCCCTTGCTCATTGTGGGGGGTTTGGAACCAGTTGCAAGGCATTCTATTATTCTATCAAACAGTGATGCCACTTGACATCAGACAGACCGGGGGACAAAACTGGTGGGATCTCCTGAGGGAACTGAGGGAAAAACCCTCTAGGAGAAAAGTTGCACAAATCTTCTGTCCTGCATACTATTATTGATATGCATATATTTATCTTTGCTTTGCAACACACTGTCCAGAGCACAGGTACTGCTGCAGGCACTTGCCTCAATCATTTCTTTCCTGGGTTCTTGCTGACCACTGTTGCTGCTATTTCCTGTTGCATCCTTAAACCACTGTCCATTTTGCAGCAGCTCCTGGTAGGGTCTGGCATATAACCTTTTCTGAATGATGATCACTCCCAATAACAGAAAATTCAAATATCAACTGGCTATTAAATTAAAATCTTGCTTGAAACTCTGGCTTAATCATGTCAAGATCAATCTGCTTTCTTGTACTGATGTCAGCATGCAGTGTAAGACCTTGCCCTTTTCTCTCTAAATTATTCTTTGCTGAATGGATGATATTAAAAAAGACTGCATGTATATCAGGCTCCTTTCTGTCTGCTCTAATCCTTTGACCATTCTGAGCCAAGAGAAAATGTGCAAGGTGGATAGACAATCCGTGGCAATCAAACCACATCCCTCTTCTTTTCCTGAGGGAATGAGAAAATAAGACAAATTGCTCCAGCATAGTTCAGGAATTTTCTCCTGAGCTGAGAATTTAGATTGAAAAATATTCTTTAATAACCAGCTGATATGATGGACTAATTTTTGCAATCTCTAACCGGGCTATAATTGAATTTTGCTATGCATCATCCTCTGATGAGAAAGCCTTTTTAAAAATGAAGTGTCAACTTCAGAAAAACAGCCTGTGGCTCAAAACCATTATGGTCTTGCAGGCTGTGAGAGTGTTCTAGGAAAATACATGTTTCCCCACCTCTGTTCATTGGTAAGTGTCTGCTGTTGAGGACTGCAGGAGAAAGGATATTGAGCTAGTTGGTGGACCTTTGGTCTGAGCCAATACAGCAGTTCTTGCTGCCTTTCCCCACAGCAATTAAATGAACATGTGTAAAAGGTCTCTAAACGTATTTATAAATTGTATGGTTGCTGTCATTGATTCAGCATGTTCCTAAAGTCCCTGTCTTCAGTGAAGCTACAAAACTCTGGCCATGAACAAGAGGAGATTTGAAATAAAATTCCAATGTATGGCATGTAAATCATTATTAGCAGTGCCAGAGTAGTGAAAAAACTCCCGCTCACACTTCTGAACAGTTTTTTCAGCCTTTATTCACTCAAGAAGATTTACTTTATAAGAATCAAAGCAGATGTCCAATGCTGTGAATTAGAGAATTGCATTCATGCTGTTGTGATTCCTGCAGGTGGAGTGGATGTCCAATTTACAGTAAGTATTTTCAGTGAGTGTGAAAATTTGCCCATGGATTGTGCAACAAAGAATACACAGTGGAATGAAAGCAGAGCATTTGGTTCTGACACTTTGGAGAATATAAGCCTGATAAATAAGGATGGAGATGGCAAAAATGGAATCTAGGAGATATTATCAAAACTGTGGGTTTATGGCTGGTTTTTGTAGGAAATATGACTGTTAGAGAGAACCATGGTTTAGTACTGAGTTTACTTAATGCTGGCTTCATATTGCTGCAATTTGACTTTGATAAATCTTAGAATATATCAATACAGTACCGATCAGAACCAACTGTTGTGTTGTCATTTGTGGTGGTACAGTTATGAGAAAGTTGTGTCCCAAAATTATTATTCATTCACAGTACGAGTAAAGATTAATGGAGAGTTTACAAAGTTCAAAATTTTAGATATAATATTAAAAAATATTACACAGATTGTGCAAGTATCAATGTATCAAATATCAAGTATCTCCATATCTAAGGAAGAAAGAAATAATGTCATGGCAGTCATTACAGAGAGACAGTTTTCATGGCATATTATAATATAACTTTTTTTCTTCATACATATGTATCCTGTGCTATTCTTTATTGTAACATATTGGAAGATTCAATAAGAAAAAAGAAATAGTTTCAATAAGGATTACTTTATGGGTTTGGTAACATACTGTACACGTTTGAAAGCCCTTTCTTAAGGTACTGCAAAACGTAAAAGCAATCTGTTCCTTATTACCATATATGTGCATTGTTATCAGTTGGGCAGGTTAATTTCCAATCCCATGAAAAGAATGACGGTTTTTTATTTGTGCTCCAGAACAATATGGATTATCTTCATCCTATTTTTTCTCTTGCTACCCCAGCTCAACTGAGACTTGAGCAGTTTTATTTACTCTACTTAATTCACTTTAAGAGCAAAATAATAAGATTTGAAATTACTTAGAACAGGATACTTCTGTGCTGGCATGTGGAGAAAGTCAGGTATGCAGCTGGAAAAGTAGAGATAATCTGATAATCTCCCCTGTGGGGTCAAGATTTTCCCTGTTTAGATGCTTTCCCTTGTTTATTCCAACCGTAAATTATAAAGACCCTGTGGACACATTTAGTGGAGCACAGAGCAGGGAGGCAGCTCTTCCCTGTGATGTCAAAGCCACCTGCAGCAACTACTCCAGTTCCATTTGCATTACACAAATGAGCCAAGCCTGTATTTTAGAGACCAATGCTTGATGACAATCCCCAGGGCTTGTGCTTGTGTATATTTTTCCAGGTGTACCCAGGGTCTCCCTGTTGTCCAAAGGGACATCAGACAGGGGCTGCTGACAGCAAGGAGTCTGGTTTCCCTGTGGGGAGGGCAGCATACACGGGCTGTGCCCAGCCTGAGACACACTACACCCAGTAGGGAGTAAAGGTGCAGTGCACCCAAGCCTGAAAATTGGTAGCATCCCCAGATCCTCCCAGGGTATCTCTGAGAACTGAAAGCAAGTGAAAAAGGAACCAACCAACCAATGCACCCACCCATTCAGCCTGGAACTGGGTGATGGTGAAAGTCTTTTTTTCCCTAATGAGAAATAACTAACTTAGTTGTCATTGCAATTGTTGAGAATTGATGAATGTCAATTAAACATTTGATGGGAAGGATTTATCAGAGACAAGATAAGATTTCTGGTCAAATCCAGAAAGGCAGCCCTTTTCTGTCACACTGACTTGCCAGCATCTCAGTACAGACTCATGGGTCACTCATGATTCAGTGAGGTCCTTAACCTGCTGCTTATCCCAATCCTCACTTTAATATTACACCTTAACCTGCTGTAAATTTCCCTCTTTGTTTTTATTTCACAGAAAAAAAGTCAGGTGTCTGTTTTAGTCTGATGGCAGAATAAAAACACTTCCCAAAACCTTGAAATATATCAGGAATTAATTCTTATATTCCAGGGGCTTTGCACAGGGGCCAGGGCCCCAGCGATCACTGTCTATTTCATGGTAAGAGGCAGTAAAATATAGAATCCAAGTCTTACAAATTTTCAAGATGTTCATGGTAGATTATATAACAAAATAGTAGCAATATTGTTAAACTAGATAAAATTGTAAATTCCAACCTTTTCCTATGTTTACCTGATAATCACAGTTCAACTTGAATCCATTGTCCTTTGTCATTAAAATTTTAAAATTTATTTTAGAGGAAGTGTGAGATAGATGCACACAAACTCTGGCAGTACTGTACAGACAACATTTTAAGAACATCACTTAGCTGAAAAACACCACTTGCAATCACTTTTTTTTTTTTTAGGAGGCAAGAAAACAAAATGGAGAAAGGAAAAATTCAGAAACAACAAGACAGACTGATTCATCCTGGATGATCACTATCTGTTTTCCTTTCTTTTCCTGGGAATTCACCTGAACACTAACTCTCACAGTGATTGACTGATGTAGTGAAACCCGATAACATTTCACAGCAGCCCTCCTCCACTGTTTTGCTAGTGAAAAAGCCACGCAGTTACAAGTGACTGTGGGCTTGTCAAAGTTTTTTAAAGACACAAAGATTACTATCTTTTAGGTGGTTCTTTAATTTCAAATGGAGAAACAGGTTCAGTAGCAAGGAAACTCTATATGTTCTCCTCACCACAGGGCAGGTCTCTCAGACTTCATAATTAATATACTCTTAGGATTTTCTTCACTTTCTCAAAGGAGTAAAAACCAGTAAAATTGCAAGGCCCAGACTGCTAGACCATGCTGAGGTTTTTGTTCAGACAGAGGAGGAAACTTGCAGTGCTTTCCTGAGCTGGTTATGGCCTGGTCTAATCCTTAAATAGGAACTTCCTTCTGGAGCTTTAAAAAAGCAGAGTTTCTGCTGCCAGCTGTATGAGGGCTTAGGGCCCAATTTGACTATATGGATAAAACCAATGAAAGAGCAAAATTTGACCTTTTTTTATTCATCTTTGGATGATTTGCAGGTGTTGCTGATCACTGAGAGGCCCTACATAGCCTTCTGTTCTAGCACTAGAAGTAGTCCGTGCGCATTATTTAATGGGATTAGCATTTAATCAGCTCATTAATATCATATTTAATTTCCCCTTTTATTTACAGGAGCGGCAAGAAGCAGCGTGCACACAGGCTGTCCCCGGCAGAGGTGGAGGCCATGCGGGACGTCCTGGCACACAACCTGTACCAAGTGCGGCAAAGGGTGCGTGAGCCGAGCCGAGCCGGGCCGGGCCGGGCCGGGCCGCCGCAGCCCGTGCTTGCCCTGCCCGTACCGCGGGCGGGGGCACTGCGGGGAGCTGGGAGGGCAAGCAGGGAAGAACCCTGGGCTTGGGCACTGATCGGAATAAGGGAAAGCTGGGTTTGCGCTGCTTTTTTTTTTTTTTTTTTTTTTTTTTTTTTTTTTTTTTTTTTTTTTTTTTTCCCATCAGCTTTTCACCCTGCCGGCATCGTGAAAAGCCAGGATAAATCAGTGCCTGAGCTGTAGAGGTCAGGCTTCGCTCGCCGCTGGGCTGTGAAACTGCGAAACTGAAACTGCGCTGCGGGGGCGGGCGGGCAAACACCGCGCAGCCCCGCGTGTTGGGAGCGGCATTTACCGCGCCGCAGGAGGAAAAAAACAAGGGAAAAAAAAAAGATTTCCACGTCCTCCGAGCTTCATTTGACACGTTTAGGTGGTTTGTTTCCCTGTAGAAGTGGTGTGGTAATACCTCAGCGGGGATTTGTTTTGTAGAAATTTGGAGTGACCCTGATGCAGCCCAGGGTATGGTATCTGCTTAATCCGGTCTCAGGCACTGAATAGACAATTGAGAGCTCGCCCACAGCAACGAGTGGGAGAGAATACATTACAGTAACCTTGAAATTATGCCGATAAACAAGGCTAACTCATGTAACACACGTGTACTAGAAAATGCTAGGGCCTGCTCATTTAAATGTGGCATTATTAATATGTTATTCATTCCTAACATTGTTTGACTTGCCATGCCTAATTATCCTTATGATATTAATTTCTTATCTTACCAGCAACAATTTGCATATATAGTTATCTCTTAGCTTACTGAAATGAACTCACTCTCTCCAAAATCAATTACAGTAATGACTATTTGTGCTAGTCATTTCCTATGTAGTATTGAGAATGGTGTGCTTTTGGAAATGAAAGATTGGATGGAAAGTAATGCTGCTTCTAATACTCCTTTTCAGCTCTGAAAAGCTCTTGCTCCCAAGACCAGTTTTACAAGGACCCTTGCAAATGAAACTGAGATGAGATTCTACTTTTTAAGAGGGATTATAAACTTCAGTGAATTTTTCTCTTTAAGGCCGATAATTATTTCCTTAATTTCACTAGATGTTGATGATAAACTAAAAAGCTTGTCTTAAATGATGCTCGGTTTAAGGGTAATATAAATTTGAAGTTTGTGCAAGTATGGAAAGGAAACTCAGTTGTGCATCTCATTCTGGAGATTCATTCTTTGTTCCTGAGTGCATCTGAATCATGCTCCAGACTCAGTAATATTAGCACCAAAGCTCAGAGCTGAGTTAACCAGTTATCTCTTTCTTGAGACCTGCCTCATATCTGTAGCTCCCAACTACACTTAAGGAGATGAGAAAAGAGATGACAAGGCAAGCCCAGAGATGAGAACAGCCTTCTTAGGTAGGTATATTTTATACACCTGCACTTTGAGCAGGTAAGAGTCTATCAAAAATGGCATCAAAACACAGCCCTTGAGGTCTGAGGCTTACAGCTGTGTTCAGCTTCCTCCCATCTTGCTCTGCAGAGTGAGATTTGTGCGTGGCCGCATTTTGCCGTGTGATACCAAAGCGATCTGTGTTGGGTCGGTGACCGAGCTGAGGCAGATGTCCCCTTGGCCCTGTGGTTGATCAGACTGATTAACATTGCAAATGCATCAAAAATGAGCTGGCTGCATCTTTTGTTTCAGGCACCAGCATACAACAGGCACAATCTTCCTACTGAGACAAGTGAGAAACAAGTGCAAGAAATTCTCATCCGTCGGGAACACAGCCTGAGGCAAAGTTGCAGGAAGGGAAACAGCTTGCCTTGGGGTAGACCGGTACCTGTTATCCATCTACTTATGTAAAAATCCCTCTGCTTCTCTGTAAATATGGAAAGACACTAGTTTTAATGTGCCCTTCACTGCATTAAAATGGGTGTTTTCCCGGTGTGCTCATGCAGCACTTACAAAGAAAGAGCTTCACTTAGCATGGGAGCAGCAAAGTTTTCATGTCCCATCTCCATACATTTGTCAGAAATCAGCTACTCTGGCTCTGTGTAGTAAAATTATGTAACTTGCATTGATTTTGCATGTGCAAAGTATAGTGTAATCAAAAAAGGCCTGATGCAAAGCCTCTGGCACGTTGATGATTTTGGTTCTCAATCAGTAAGAGATTTGTTTGACTAAAGGGAGGCATTGAACAGCACAGACATTTATAGCTGAGATAATCATGGTTAAGGAAGAGAAATAAGTTCTTGTTGGATGGATTAGTTGTATTCGAATTTTTCACTTGAAATGAGAAAGGTGAATCTTAGAAGAACGTGTTTTTCTCTGGTGGCAGTAAAAACCCCTTTGGCTGTTATATCAGACAGACATTCTCACTGGAGCTGATGTGAGTTCAACCATCCAAACCAAGCATTGATCTTATTCATGCCTATCAAAATTTGGCTTTAAAGGTGCAGCATATTGCCATAACTCTTTACTGTTTCACCAAGTAAGTGCCCAGTGGAGGCAGTCACAGGCACTGGACACACTTCTGTCTCCTGCACAGGTTAAGACCACGGAAATACGCTACCTCTCCTTGCCTCAGGGTCCACACCAGCCCACTAGAAGAAAAGCCAGGCATGTTACTTTTACAGGTAATAGAAGTGCTTTACTCTGTATCCTAGTCCAGTAGCAAAAGAAACTTGGCCAGTTGTATGGTGGATTTAACCGTACTACATGCACAGTCCCATGGAAGCCTACAGCCTCTTTAAATGAGCTACACCCTTCTCTCCTTTCTGTTTTATCTATGTTGTTTATATGATCATTACTGCAGCAGTTTGTTTTGTTCCAGCACCTCCTGCTTTTCTCTTCTTCCCTCTTGGACAAATATTCCTGTGATCCCTGCAGTTCCACCTGGCCAAGCTCAAGAACACAAATTAGCCATTCCCTGCAGCCCTGCAGACAGAGCTGTATGCAAAATTATTATGACTTTCTGAACCTGTAGCCCAGTCCAGGTGAGACTGATGGAGCTCCATGCCCGAGGTCCTGCAGGTACCAAGACTGAGCAGGTATTCCCAACATGCAGCCCCACACCGAAATTCAGTGCATGTGTGCACCCAGCCAGACACAGAGAGCAGCACAGACATGGCACAGGGCTCACACAAACACAAACAGCACCAATGGCCACGTCCTTGTCCCCTCTCTGGCTGATGAGACTGATAGACTGTTAGGGAAAAATTATAAATACGTGCATGCTATCTGAATCTTCAGCAGCTGGCCTGAGATACATGCTCTGCTCAGCACCTGGCCCTGGACCTTCCATCTGCACATTTGGTGGCACTTGGGCATGTGAGTCCTTGGGGACACAGCCCCCAGCAGCTGCTGGTACACAGACCTACACAATGGCACACAGAGGCTTGGTCTTACACTCTCCCTCGTGTATTGTAGCACCCTCCAGCAGCTGGCCTTGGGCAGCCAGTCTTCCCTGCCTAAAAGACCTAAAGTATTCCACACAGCAGACTCAGACCTAAAAGCACTGCAGATACTTGCAAGGAACCAAATGCTGCTCTAGGAGGTAGATGCATTATTTTAGTGGGGAGAGAGCTAAATCCTGAAGCAGTGAATGCAAGTATTTTTTTTTCTATTAGGCCTGAATTTAAGACCTGCCTTGTAATCTATCAAAATAAAACATTTTTTTGGCCCAGCCTCTGGCCCCACCTTAGGGCCATTGTGTGGCATTAACACCACTTTAAGCGTCTTCAGCAGGAAAAAGCCACCCTAAAGTCTCTCATAAACTCTTGGGATGAGATAAATTGCTCTTGGAAACTAAGAAGAGAAGTACTCAGTACGTAGGGAATTAGAGTGACAACCTCATTCATGCACACATGCATTTTCAGAGATGAATGTCATCTCTTCTGTCTATGCCTGGAAGACCTTCTGGAAAAAAATCTTTCAGCAAGCTTGATTTAGGTCTTATGTACAGATTGTGCAGAAATTTTAGTAAATAAAGCTCAGAAATACCTTAAATTGATCCTTAAGTCACCTACCAGCTCTTTCTGCCACTCGTATAAATGAATTGTCCAGAGAGGTTCTTGTTGCCCAGACAAATTATGGACTCCCCATCCCTGAAGATGTTCATGAGCAAGTGGATGGGGCTGACCAGCCTGGTCTAGTGGAAGATTCCCTGTTCATGAAAGGAGGGCAGAAGTAAGGGATCTTAAAGGTCCCTTCCAACACTAACCAGTCTATGATTTTATGAATTATTTCTTTGGCAGTAAATATCATTCATTCTTTGTAGCAGTGATGCTCCCAAAGGGCTCAGTAGAAGCCCTGGAAATCTGAGAAATCCTATCCTGCTTGGGATGTAGTATGTCCATGTGGCCTATGAGCAGCAGTGCTTCACTGTGCCAACTGTGAAAGAAACATTAGCTTTAAAGAATTTAATAGTTATGGATCTGCAATAATTTCTTAAATTTTAAAACTGTGACCACAGTCAATACATGTGTACTTGAATTGTAGCAGGATTTGGACTAATTTTGCTGTTCATAGACCTCTGTGTTTATATCCCAGATCCTCCTAGCTTAGATTGTTAGGAATTGCTTCTTACATTAACTACTTTCCTGCTCTGTAGTTAGACTACAAGTGGCTTTAGGAAAGGGAAAAAGTATATTCTATAAACTCAGCAGGATAAGAATGCCAGTTACTGGCCTCTTGCAGGCAATTTTTTACAATGTACTTGTGGCAAAGCAAGCTGGTAGGAGCAGATCTGACACACCCAAAGTAATCAAAGCACCCCTGGTTTCAGATGAAACTGTTCATCTTGTTAGTCACAGGTCACTGGCAAACTTGATTTTTGATGGATCAGAATTTTCTCCTTTATCCCATTTTTGTTTTGTGCTGTGGGTTTAAAAATGCTTTTTAACCATGGTACTAGGTACACTTGTGAAATTTTAGAAAAATTTAAATTACATAAAGGAAAGCTCTTGCATTTCACTCTTGCCCTTCACCCTTGCAGTGAAGGCATTGGGGAGGTCTGTGAGTCACCAAAAGGTGAATGTGCTCATATTCTGGGGTTTCAGAGCTGAGATGAGGTAAAGAAAATCTTTTAAACCTCGACTTTGAGATGAAAATTAAAAATTAGGGCTATTTTTAGTTCTTGACTGCTTCCTTATTCTATAGTAATTATTTAAAATGTTTCAGTTCCTGGATATTGTATTTAATACCCTTTATCCCTCCTTTCCAATACCATGGCATTTCTCTCTTGCTTGTTTAAAGCAATGAATTATTTGTCTGTTTATCTTTAGATCAGCACAGGAGTGGCTCTGATGCTGCACTGCCATTGACATCGAGGTCCCAGCCCCGACCACGGCCGCTGGAAGCACAGCAGCGCCAGGAGCTGATTCCAATGGCACACCTGGACAGACGAGCTGCTCCATCCAACCTGCCAGCTCGCAGAGGAAATTCAATCAGGCCTCATCATTTCACCAGAGCACACAATCCAGCTCCACTGCCAAGGGCTCACTTCACTGTCAGAGAGGTGGAGGAGTATGAGTCAGAAGAAGAGACAGAAACAATGGCACCAGCCAGGCCATTAGTTATATGAGGAGCAGAGATCATCAGTGTTTGCATCTCTAGGGCCCTTGTTGCACTGCTTCTAAAGAATAACAAAGCTTTTATATGACCCAAACTATGATTTTCCTCTGGGGACCAGTGTGCTTGCTCTCGTATCACTTTCAAGAGTTGTATTAAGGTACTTAGTGCCTCAGAGAAGACTCAAGTTCTTATGGGCTAATATCAAGCTTTCTTTCCAACAAAACACTCCAGGAAAGAGGAGAACATGATATTTGTAGGGGTTTGGATGTGGATTTAAACAGCAGTAGTTGGGTGCATGAAGTGCTATGGATAAAAGATGACACTGCCTTTGTTTCATACTATGGTCTGCATCCAGAAATATCTAAAGGCATCTCTGACTTGTGAATGCACAGATTAATAACTTCAGCTTGCATAGAGCTTTTGATTCCAGATCAGAATCAGCTGCATTCTGGAAAAGAGTTAAAAACAGAAAAGCATTTTTTAGGGCATATAAATGTCACTGAAGATGCCTAAGCAAGACCTTAAGTCAAAAGGACTTTCAGTGAACATTTTAAGCACTTGGGAACCTCTTGGTAACTCAGGTTTTGGCTCTGCAAAAGCGTGTAAAGTCATCTACGTAGAAGATCCATGGCTCCAGCTACTTAAGTCAATTTCAATATGTAGGCTCCTCTCACTCACCTACAGTTATTTTGGAGGAATAAAGGACGTATCCTTGTATGTAGAAACTCAGAGGAGTTTTCAGGCAGGAGTGCCATCAGGATTTTATTTGTAAGCACCAAATGGCAAGAACATACACAATATATTTGTGATTCAGCAAGCAGAAGGCTTCCTTGTAGAGTATCTAACTTCTCCATTCCCCACTCCCACCTTGTGTGCCCAAATGCATGCACCATTTTTCACACTACAGCTGGACCAGCAATGCAGATAGGAAGCAAGAAACTGGGATTAAAGGTAGAGGGAGCCTAATCCTGTAGCCTGCTGTCTAGCAGGAAAAAGAGGCCCTGTGTTTGCCTCACAGCGATTTGTAGTGTCTTCCTATATGTTGTACAGAGAAGATTTTCTCCAAAAGAAAGCAGAAATAACCAGAGGGATGTGCACTACAGCACTTGAGCTCCCAGCCTTTCTGTGTAGCTCCCTTCCAAGTGGCTCTGTGTGCCCATGCTCCACTCTCAATACTGGCTCTCCCTAGCAGCAGGAGAAGCAAGTATGGTCTTTAGTTATTTAGCTAAGTCCCAAACACCTAGTTTCTCTGAAAAAGTTCCTTTCTGTAGAATGGAAGCAGAATTGCCACTGTCTTCTGTGTCTTGGCACTGTAGTTGAGCTGATTTTATCCAAGGGGATGAATCCAGAAGTCCATGAACCCACCCTTACAGCTGCACTGAAATCGAATCTATGGTTAAGAAATGTACCAAGTTCAGTCATGTTTTTGTTAAATTTCCTCCTGTTTCCTCCACTCAGACCTTGCTCAAGGTCTGTAAATGCTTCTCTAAGAGTCAGAGATAGCAGTGCTACTTGCATTTTTCTCTTTTTTATATTGCTGGTATTGCTTGTATGTCCTGGTCCATAAAAGAACTTATTTCTGTAACTTATGATTTCACATTTCTTACAAAGGCTTTCTGATTCAGGACAGGTAGAATCTAAACTAATAAACTTGAAAAGCACTGCCAGAGGAAGAAAGCCCTACAAGCCCTTTACCCCTTTTTCTTGTGTTTGCAGCTTTTATGCTTAGCAGGTTATAATGAATCATCTGTACTGAAATTGTACAAAGCTTTATGAAACTCGAGTTCTATTTGTATTTCCTTATTGTGCCAGAGAAATTATATGACTTCCTTTTATGAAAACAGTGGTACATTATTGAAACAGGGTAGGATTTTTCTTCTGTACTGAAACTGAATTAGCAATGAAATACAGTTCTATACCTGAAAATCAACAAATAAACCCAGCTCCACCAAAGGAGGAAGTGCTCCACAGAATTTTTAAACAAAAGCCTTGCACCAGATCTCAGTCCTACAGCAAGTTATATTGACATATCATAAATCTAAATTAAAACATGATATTAAGGGAAAGAGTTACTATACAAACTCAGTTCTTAAATTGCACTGTAAGCCTCACGATATTTGCCACATGATATTTAATTGAGGGCAAAATTAGTACCCATATGATGTGGTCTAAGGCCACAAGGGTGCATGGAGTAGGACAACAGAGGTGTGGAACCTGCTTCTGCATCGCAGAGTTGTGGGGGATAGGAACTGCTGGCAATCCTTGGGGACAGGAGAATGTGGAAATCTGAAGGAAAGATGAAGAAGGGGTATTGTCTCATCTTCCAAGGGAGGCTCATGAGAGACAGCTTTAATGGAGGATTTACTGTGAGCAGCAAATTCAGCATTTCATCTTTAAGAAGATTTAATCAACGAATTGTCTCGGGGAACAGGACAGAGACAAACTCTGTGAGACGAGGATTAATGGGATGTCAGGAATGGCCTGGGAAGGGACTAGGCACACACCATGAAAAAGAGGAGTCTGCATTTTGACCCGTGCATGTTTGACAGATAGGCTCAAAATTGACTCCTAAATTCCTTAAATATTGTACAAGTTGTGGAGCATAATATAATTACCCATCAAAAGTAGGGAGCAAAACATTCAGTTTCTAATTATGAGTTTATATTAGGACTAGAGAAAAATAATAAAATACTAAGACAATTAGTGCATAGATGGAGTCAAATCTCCCTCCTTTGCTTCATTCCTAACCTTCTTGTTGATGAAATCAGTGACTCAGAACTTCAGAGAGTGTAAAGCTGTAGAGAAGCTAGAAGTTAATAGAGTGCTCTCAGATTTTGCAGTCTAGCTCCTAAACTTGTAAAGTCTATTTTTAGTTTTCATTCCTAGCAATTAGTAAATAGTACTGGAAGAAAATTTCCTTCTGTGCCATTAGTTGCTGTTAATGGCTTTGCTGGCCATCAGCCAAGAAGCAGTGCTGCAGATGCCTATATAAAATATGTTCCAAAATATAATGTTGCACTTTTTCTTTTTTTCCATAGTTATTTTTTGTGGGAAAAAAGGTTCTTCTGAAAGAAGCACATTACTTATATTTTCAGTAGCAATAACTACAGCAATATCTTATTGCAAGTAACTTAATCCATGTCCATAAGCTTTCAGGCCTCACCATAAAGAAAGCTGAAATGGTTTAGGGCATGAATTTAAATCCAGTGTGTGGGCATTCTTAAGCTCTTGAACCTGGGTCACATCCAGGAACCTTGTGCTGTAATTTACAAAGGTGAGTTAATTCAAGACCTCTTTCTTTTATTTATTTTTTTTTAGGCTGGTAGAGTGCTATTTACTCAGGAATTTAAATTCCACACTTGTTTAAGGTAAACTGACACAGGAAATCCATGCCCAGAAGGTGTGGAATATTATTCAAAATCCAGAGAGGAAATAAGAGCTCAGAAAATTAAGACTGTTTCCTTGGCAGGACAGGTGAGTTTCAGGAGGGAATAATAATTAATAGCCTTTACCTTTCACAGTAGAGAAAACAGGAGATAATGTGGTAATGTGGTTTAAGCCCAGCTTGTAACTCAGCCCCATGCAGTCACTCATTCACTACCCCGTGGTGGGATGGGGGAGAGTAGAGGAGGAAACCCTTGTGGGTTGACAGTTTAGTAAGTGAAGCAAAAGTCACACACACAGAGGCAAAAGAAAACAAGAAATTAATTCACCACTTCCAATGGACAGGCAGGGGTTCAGACATGTCCAGGAAAACCAGGCTCCCACACATAACAGTGACTTGTGGAGGCAAACACCATCACTCTGTCTGTCCTCCCCTCCTTATATTTCCCCAGCTTTGTTGCTGAGCATGGCACCACAAAGTGTGGGGTATCCCTTTGCTCACCTGGTCAGCTGTCTTGGCACCCTCAGCCTGTTCATTGGTGGGGTGAGAGGCAGAGCAGGTCTGTGCTCTGTGTACACAGAACTCTGTGTCAGCACAGCTCAGCAATGACAGAAACGTCCTGTTATCAACACTGTTTTCAGCACAAATCCAAAATACAGGCCCATATGAGATACTGTGAAGAAAATTAACACTATCCCAGCCTAAACCACATCACACCTTGTTAATCAATGAGACTTGATTGATTAACACCTTGTTAATCAATGAGAACTTGTTAATCAATGAGAAAAATAAGACAAGAACAATCACAATGAGAACATATTTTAGGAGCAAAAGGAACAATATTCAAGCAGAATATTGCAGAAAAAGGGAGGGATTTATTGAGGTCAGTGATATGTTGTGAGGAGCTGGCAGTACTTTCATGTTTATTGCACAGTGTAATTAACTGTTAGATCTTGTTGCTCTTTCTGCAGCTATTGCTTTTCAATTAATATCCCTGGCAAGTAAGAATGTGCAGTAAAAGAAGACTCTCTCCCTTAGAGAAGTCAGCAAGAAGGAAGCAGCAGCAAGTGGAGTGCCAGCAATCAGACAAGACAGCAGCTTGTGCAGGGAGCATCCAGGTTGTGATGGATGTTACATCCAAGTTAGCAGGGTGCACTGGAAGAAGGCTTTGCTGTGGTGCCTCTTCAAGGGACAGTGGTGCCCACCCCTGAGCAGTCAGGGCTGCTGCCATCTGTACAGCACCCATGGGGAAAACTGCTGCTTAAGGATAATGCCAGCAAGCAGGATAGGGAAGGATGCTGTGAAAGACCCAAAAGAGTTTCCAAGTCACACCAGGGGAGGACACTGGCAAAGGATGCAGAACCAGGGGCTCGGGGAGGCAACTCCCCTTGCAGCACAGCTCAAACCCCAGTGCATGGAGCAGGCAGGTGTCCATTGAAGGCAGAGAGAAGAAGCTGCAGCGCAAGGAAAAGAGCAAATGTCCTGGTGGGAGCTATGGGTGGACTGATTTAGTGCTGTGTGTGTGCCAAGGAGGTACACTGGCTTAAATGACAAGAGTTCAGAAGTGCTCAGAGCAGCAAAGGGAAGCTATATGGGATTCAGGAGAGTAGGTCAGAGTTCAAGGC